ATTTTTTACACCCTGTTTGTTTCATACAGATTTTCTGAATGAGTTGTTTCATACATGCGCTTCATATTCTTTATTAAATAGTTTGTAGAAATGGTACATTCATAAATAAAGTATTTATCTACTATTCCTGGTACCGGTTTTTAAATCTTTTATCAATCCATCTAAAGTAGATTTAACAAAACTTAAGATTTCATAAGAGCATAAATTCGAGATAATATATAAAAACATTTGAATTATATTCTTTTCAAACAAAACAGATTTTAAAACAAAAATGCCAATTGTCCGATTTTTTTCTATCCGAAAACTGGTATTTTGCCAACAAATGTTTTATTCTTAGCTACACTGCATACATGTTGTTGCATCTTAATTATTAAGTGGTGAAAAAATCAATCTAAATAAATAGGAAACAAATAAAATAAATTTCATTATTTTGCGAGATCAATAAGTTCCGGTATTTGGATGAACAGGTGCTCCAATTAAGAGACGACAAGTGAAGTCATCTTTACGTATTTATAATCAAGAATGTTAATTTTATCAATTAGACATATTTAACTATCATCAGAGGGATTTTCATCAATTTCTGAAGTTGGGCCATTTTCAGTGCTTTGTGAACCTAGCTCTTTAGTTAAGTATGCATATTATGCATTAAAAAAGAGAAATGAGATATTAAGTAATACAGATACCGACAGTTAGAAATCATTAGGATATACTTACTATATTGAGATCATATTCTCGGAATCATTTTGTACGATATAACACAGATACTTAAATTTGAAATTATTACTTTAAAACATTTGAGAATCTGCTTATAATATCATCAATGTTACTTTTAAGGTATTGATTAGTTTGTTGTTTTCAATTTTGAAACTTCAGTGTTGAATGAGTTTCTACAGTGTTGTGATAAATTGATTTACTTTTCATTTCGGACAATGTTGTACAAAGCTTAAGACTGATCAAAACACTATTGCCTTTAATGTTAAGGCTATAGTATGTTTTTCTTAATTTGCAAAGAATAGCCATAAGTGAAGATCTTATGTTTTGTTTTTCGTTAAGATCGACACGCACCTTGGTAAATTATTCAACAATAGTTTTATGTATTTTAATATAAACATTATTAGGAACCACTGTACATGGTATATTCTAGATATTTTACAATTATTGTGATATTAGTTCAAGGATTTTGCCTCTGGTAAAATATACTCCATACCAAGTTGAAAAAATTGTAACTTTTTAAAGAATATGTTATCGTTCATAACGATTAATATCGATCTGTACTGACACCAGTTAAGAAATTATATCTTAATGTATATATTTTAGTTGGCTGGGGGGGGGGGGAGGGGTGCAGAGCCGCTGACATGTGGGTGGCAGATTTTGACAAAAATAGAAAAAAAATAACATAATAGGTGAAAAGCGTGTTTTTTAAGCTTCAGCCAGCATCGGTAAACTCCTAAATTTATTACAGTCTATATTCTATACAGTAATATACTACAATTACAGAATACTACACATAAAGAATGAGACTACTCTTTTTAAGCCATGCAAATGGGTAGGTATGGGAGGGGTGCTGAAAATAGTGTTATTTTCTTGACTTTCTTATGCTTTTTATGGTATATTTTTGTTAATTTAACAACTCTTTTTACATTTTGTTTATTTATATTTAAAAATACATCATTAAGTTGCATTATGGGTATAATTATTATTTAATAAGGAATTTTTACACCAATGAAACTATTTTTAGATATAGAGAGAACATTACAATTAAAAAAATATTCAAGGCTTATAAATGCAACAGCCATGTAGGAAGTTCATTAAAAATAAGTGACAAATCTTTCATTTTACAATCTAGGTATACAAATGTTTTTAAAATGTCTCAGGAATTTTTAACAAACAAACGTATAGGGAAGTACGTAACAAAATTATTTGAAGTCTGACATGTTAACAGTATGAAGATACTTGGAAATATTGAAAGAAACAGTCAAGTTTGTAGTAAACGCAGTTATTTAAAGAAATTCCTTTATCCACATTATCTTTATAAAACTTGCCACCTTTTTTAATTCCTTTAAATCATATTTTTCAATGAATTTTACTTGTGACTTTGCCAAAGGAAAACAGAAAAAAACAAAGACAGTATATGTACTGCGTAAAGCACATATTTGCTACTTTATCATGCTAAATCAAATATGCCACTTTAACCTTCAAGTCATCGACAACGACCTCTAACAAGTCCTAGACAGGAGATTAACACTACTGCCAATACAGCATAAAACGGTCATAAATATATTCCAGTCCGGCTAGTAAACGCATCTTTGGGCTGTGCTGGGGGCTGCAGTCCCGAAGCCATGCAAGGCCTGAATCAGCCAATTATTAGTATAATACATATCAGCATGAATTGACCTATAATTCATCGTACCTATAAATCACTGTCATTAATACGAACATATAAATTATTGTAATAATTACGGACCTATACTCGCGTACATCAGTACAATAAATAATAATTCATGACCAATCAATACGGATCTATAAATCAGTGTACTGAATAAGACTATGTAATGAAATCAAACCTATATTATGCAACGATGAAAAAAGTGCTAATTAGAATACAACCACGTAAATGGTACAATAAATCAGAAATTTAGATAACATGTTATCTATGTCTCTGAATAAAGGACATAATTAAGAAAAACAAATGCGCTTAACACGAGAGCTCGTTTTAAGACGATACTTCATTATCTCAACAAAAAGGAAGATAAAGTTCACATTTTTGATAAGTATACTGTGCCGCTATGATAATGTGAGAGTGACGTTGCATTTTTGTGTACACAAAAGTTTACAATCTTTATCTGAATAGGTAAAACAGGGTTTTTAGAAGCGAATATAGTACTAGATAAAACTCAGAATTTTAAATGTCTTGATGGCAAAGTTGGTAGTAAAGTCGTTGGGAATACTTGCAATACAAATAATTTTTTTCACGAGTTAAGCCTCACAAGTTGTTTGTTTAACCTTTTCCTTTCTTTTTGTTTCCTCTCTTTTCAATTTTACTGAAGATGTAAATGAATTGGAAAATAAAGGTAGTTTTATTAAAATATCTAATAATTCAAATATACCGGTAATAATATTTTTATCCTGTATAGTGTGAAGTATGCAGTTGTCATAGTACTTGTGCAGTGCACGAGTATTTCTTTAATTATGTCAAGAAAAATATATTACATATTCGTATTTGATTGTTTATTATATAGAAATTATTTTTGAGACAACAGTACAATCCGAACCAGTCTTGCATTGATTTTTAACGAGTAGATTAACTGACAACGCTACCTACTGCGTTACGCTGACAATTGATGAATTTGTCGATATTTTAATTTATATAGCAAGCCCGCGTGCCTTAAGATAATAAACGCAATATGTTAACTGTTTTACACAATAATCAGTGATAATAGTGGACTTGACCGCCGAGTCACTAAATAAATAAATTCTGTAAATGGTTGCTTAATGTGAAAATGTCAACTTATACTCTTTCATTGTTTGCAGAAGTAGGCCGATTTCCATTATATATTTCACGTCATGTAAAAATTGTTAAATATTTTATACAAACATATCAAAATAAAACAAGCAACTTTATATTAAATTATATTGTTAATTGTCAGAGATTGGAGATAGAGTCGAAGTCTAATACTGTAAATTGGTTGTCTAAAGTCAAAGCACTTTGCAAAGTGCTGGATTTAATGATGTATGGATGTATCCAGAATCAGTTAAGCTAAATATATTTATACCAGTCCTATACATGGTCGTTAAAAATATATTTATATCACAAATTGGCATTCTATTGTACATATTTGTTCTTTTTTGTATTTGTATAAATATATCAAAACAGATTTTAGCAGGTCTAAATACCTGGATTTTGTTAACTCTATGAAATTAAGAAATATATTTGCATAACTTAGATTATCATCTCACAATTTATTCATAGAAACAGGTAGACATAATAATATTGATAGAAATGAGCAGAAATATGCTATTTGTAACAATAATGACATCGAAGATGAATATCACTTTGTATTGATTTGCTCTTTGTACGATTCTCTTAAGAAACGGTATATATCCAACTATTTTACAAGGAACCCTAGTATGTTTAAATTTTTAGAATTGCTGAATTCAGAAAGGAAGTCAGTGTTAACAAAATTAGCTATATATTGTAACAAAGCTTTTAAATTAAGATTTGATTCATTGAATACCGGATAATGCTATATAAGACCACCTTTTTATATTGTTTAAAGTTAAAGAGGATTGTATATATTACATGTGTTGTATTACACTCTCACTAGTTTATTTCATTTATTGGTATGCGTTTAAAACTTTTCATATTCATGCTTGTAGATATTTGTTGCATATGAAGATGAGCTGTATATGCTTAATTCCAAATAAAATATATGTTCTGTTCTGTTCTGTCACTAAATAATTATCCTAAACGGACAGTACTTGAACTTCTACATTTGTACACAGTGAGGTGTGACCTATTATAAACACCACCAACATGTGGTATGATTCACAACGGGAGCGTCAACCTGCTTATCGGGTTCAGGAAGTTTCTACAATGATTGTAGGTACATAGTTGCTAAAATATTTTATTAAGCAGGAACTTGAAATTTAATCAATACATCACAAAATATACGTATATTAATGATATATCCCTTATCTCTATATTAAAAACACTATATAGAGATAATGGCTATATCACTAATATTCGTATATTTTGTGATATATTGATTAAATTTCAAGTTCCTGTGCAAGTATAAACTATACATGTACGGGTGTGTGATTTGTTATTCTATGCCATTATAGTGTTATACGCTAGGAGATTTTTTATATTTACATGCTAATATAAAAATCATTTATTTGAATAATACTTATAAGATGAATAATACGCAGCCCGTTAGTATAGACGTTGAATTTACGCACAATGAACACAGGAATCAAGAAAACAGAGACAACCATGCTGCTTACAACAGTAGCGACGACGAAGGCACTATATGTCTATCTTGCTCTTGTTGCCGTTGTGTATCTATCGGTGGCGATTCTAATGGAGACGGAACAAGTGATGGTGACTGTGCAATATGTGATTGCAGTAATTGCGACTGTGGGGGATGTGATTGCGGAGGATGTGATTGCGGGGGATGTGACTGCGGGGGATGTGATTGTGGGGGATGTGATTGCGGGGGATGTGATTGCGGGGGATGTGACTGCGGGGGATGTGACTGCGTGGCATGTGTCTGCGGGTATGTGACTGCGTGAAATGTGTCTGCGAGATCTTCAACTGTACGATTTTATAACTTTTGAAACATCTTCTACTCCAGTCTTAACATGATACAAACATTTTGCACAATAACATACGACGCTCACATCGATGAATTCAAACTGAAAAGAAACTGTACAGTTATATTTTCGGATAAAATCAAGTACTTATCAAATCAAGTGCATTTCATATGATAGTACAATTTTATGTAAGATTAATTATAAGATATAACTTGATTGAGGAACTATTCGGGAGGATGACAATACACAGAGACACAATATACACAATTACGCCATCTATGCAGGACAAATTAAAAATGAAACACTTTTTCGAGAATGTCGCGGGAAAATAATTAAGGTTTATAAACTCAAGAATATAAAATCATATCAAACACTTAGGGGAATTTGAAACAGAAATAGCATAATTATAATTAAACTTCCTAATAGTGATTATTCTCTTGCAAATGTTTTCTTATGTTATTAACTTTTTTCTTAATAATTAAAAATAAATGACATTTATGATATTGCTTGCACCTTGTTCTGTTCTGTTATATATAGGCTCATCGAGGGAGAAAACAACGCTTATGCGATAGAGTGAATTAATATTAATCATGTTAATACAGAAAACGCTTTAATGTTATATACATAAAGAAAAGGCTATCATGTAGAATAAATGCAGACAGCCCCTAACCGAAATAGAAAAAATAAAAATACATAGATAAAAATAATTGAAAATGAAATAATAAAATAAATGAATAAAAACAAACTGCTTTCATGTAAAAGAAGAATAAAGAGCTTTAATGTGATAGAGGATTAAAGAAATGCTCTTGTGGAAAGTCCTAATGTAATCAAGGGAATATTGAAATTGTCTTAATGTAGTCGTGGGAATACATAACACGTGCTAAAGTAGTGGAGGGAATATAGGAAATGCCCTTATGTAATCGAGTGAATATATCAAAATAATTGTCCTTAAGTAATCGAAAAAAAACGTCCTAATTTGTAGTCGAGGGAATATTAATAATAACCTTATGTAGTCGACGGAATATAGACAATGTCCTTATGTAGTCGAGGGAATATATGTAATATCCTTATGTAGTCGACACAATATAGAATATGTCCGTATGTAATCGAGGGAATATAAAAAAAATAGCCATATGTAGTCGACGGAATATAGAACATGTACTTTTGTAACCGATGGAATGTAGAAAATATCCTTATGTAATCGAGGGAATATAGAAAATATCCTTATGTAATCGAGCGAATATAGAAAATATCCTTATGTAATCGATGGAATGTAGAAAATATCCTTATGTAATCGAGGGAATAAAGAAAATATCCTTATTTAATCGAGGGAATTTAGAAAATATCCTAATCGAGGGAATATAGAATATGTCTTCATGTAATCGAGGTAATGTAAAAATGTCATTATAATATCGGGCGAATATAGAAAATGTCCTAATGTAGTCGAGGGAATATAGAATGTATCCTCATGTAATCGCGGGAATGTGTCGATACCGGTCTGTCCTCTAATATGTAACTTGTATTTAATATAATAATTGATATATTTATTTTATTAATATATTTTAAAGTTTAAGTGTATCTTTTGCATGTATTGCCACGTCAAAGAAAAAAGATTTGTCATAATAAAAATGAACAATAAAATTTATATTGTTTTATTGTATATATCTAATTAAACCTTGTATAAACAACGTGCATGTATTGTAAACGGTAATAACAATTATGTTCTTGTCTGTATATCATTACTAAATATCAGAAAATATGGTGATAGATGTATTATAATTTATAACAAAAGTATTATTAAAACATAAATTTTTTTGCTGTAATCTAAAAAAAATCAGGTATGACCATCTTCAGCAAGAAGGACTGTCTGGCTGCGTTGGCGCATAGAACGGATCAGCTTGTGGAATGTTGTTATATTCCACAAGTAAGGCCTGTCTGAGCTGAATGACGTCTAGTGGTGAAAGAGGGCGTTGTTAACAAGCTAGGTCAAATTATCCCAAAGGTGTTCAATTGGATAAATGGATAATGGGAGATTTAGTTGACAAGAAAGATTTGCTTATCTTAACTGATGAATTATGTTAATAATGATAATGATAATAACGATATTTATATCGCATAGTAGAATCTAAGATTTAACAAAACAAACATTAATACATACTAAACAAATTAATTTTTAGTTAATTACTTTGTACAGTATGTGCCCCAAATTTACACTTGAGAAGCGTTGGTTTCATCTAATTCTCTCTTCTTGTCATTTTCTTTCTTTTAGTTTTTTTTCTGTTAATATGTTTTTAATTATTTATGAATTACTTATTTTTAAGCGCCTTACAACAAAACCTATATTTATGTTTTATTTTTCAAAGTATTTTGATATACAATTATTAAAGGCGGTTGTGGTACACACTTCGTAATGTGATAATGTGCTCTTTACAAGTTAATCGGCCAGTCATATATTACTTTAATTGTAATTATGGAGACTGGCTTGAAAAAGCACGAAATACTTCAGTCAAAATCCATTGCGTTTATTATGATAGATTGATTGTTAAAGTAGTCTGATCAAAATCCATTGCGTGTATCATGATAGGTTGATTGTTAAAATGTTTTGTATGTTGTAGTCCTGATTATAGAATATAATTATGCAATAAAAATGATATGATAAAAAGTACAGTACAAAGACAGGCAAGTGATACTAACTCGACGCAATTTTTAAGGAATTCTGAAATATTAATGTCCAGGTTTCAATCGCATATATGTAAACAAATATACTTGACTTAACATTAAGATAAAGCATTCACGAAAAATCAACATGTGAATAAGCTAAAATGGATATTAAAAACCTCTAGTGTTAACGCACAAAGGGACAAACTGCAACCTCGTTATCGTGCATGTTTTGAATTAAGAAAATAAAGCTTATATCACCACCATAAAATGTGTATCGAATAAGAAAACACAAAAAATCAGTCTATCAATTCATTTCGCTTACGTCTGTGACAATGTTGTTCTTAGATCTGAAAATAGATAAATAAATAGATAAATAAATAAATAAATAGATAAATAAATAAATATGAACAACAATACTTAAATCAAGTACTGAAACAAAACATAATATTAGATTTATCAAGTAAATAATATAACAATTACCATTGTATAAATTATCTGGGATCCTGTTATTACTCAAACTCTCGTCGTAATTATTAGTCACTTCAGCTGTTTCAGCATTTACAGCTTCGAAATCGGTTCTAGTGTTATAATATGTTGGAATCTCAACGTTAGGTTTGTTATCATTAAGCGTTTTACTTGCAAGATACCTGTGTTTAAATATTATAATTTATAATATTATTATACATTAATTTATTATAAAAAGTCTTAAAAAAGGCAAGTCAGAATGAACTTAAAGTAGGAACCGAGTGGTCTGGAGTTCAAATCCCAGATAAGGCAACTTATGTTTTTTTTTTGTTGTTTTTGTTTTTTTATTATAAATTGTTTAAGGTAAATAAACATTGAATTGAATATCAGTGTTGCACTTAGTCTTATAGGCAATTTACTACAGTTATAACACTGGAAACAGCATTGGTGGCACTTTACAAAAACAAATTGGTTGATAATCTCACAACATTCACCTTTCTGATATTCTGAGACCCAAACAAATTCAGCGCATTCTGTGCTTTGATTTGAAATGTATTACAAAGTAAAGTATTGTCAAGTGAATAAAGAGCATAAGTTACACATTGCAAATGGTACTTTAAAATCTACAAATAATACCCGCAAGTAGCTAAGAAAAAATAGTTAAAGTTAAGTAAGTCACGCAGTATAAATGTTGTGATAAGTACTCCAAAATCAGCCATTAATTACATACATGAGCATTGAAATCATTTCTTGAATTGTGAATATTTTTACATTTCTTAAACACTTTGTACATTCTTCTCAAGGTTGATTTGCTTGAAATATTTTGGATCACCTGGAGGTATGCAGGTTAAAACCCATTGCTTATCATGTTCGCGAGGAAAGCCAGGGTATTAGCTAGGGTATTGGCTTTATGCTGCCACACCTTTTGGAGTTTGAACTCTGATGAGACACTTAGCTGTTCACTCTGAAATGTTGAGACGCTTGGCTGTTTACTATTAAATATTGAGACGCTTAGCTGGTTACTCTGGAATGCTGAGACTTTAGGCTGTTTATTGTTAAAGGTTGAGACGCAAGGCTGTTAACTACTAATTGTTGAACCGCTAGACTATTTACTTTCATGTTAGTTTTTCAAAGTCTGGATCCTGAAAGAAATGGCAGTTTGAGGTCTTTGATAAATAAATTATATTGTCACATACTAATGCTGATTTTATGATTTGGTAAAAAGTGGTACAGCACTGCTGTGCATATATTTAAACATAATGTAATATGTATATAAACATATTGAAAAACACATGCTTAAAGTTAACGCTGCAGGAAATTAAATATAAGCATGTTAAATATATTCTTTTTTTTACTTTAAACTGCTTTTTTTTTGTTCCGTATGTGCACGATTACATGTTATACTGCAGTAGATTCTAAACTGAATTCATCGATCTTGCTGTGTAAAATGATATATTACTTGCATACAGGCGCGCATAATATAAATATTTTATAGGGCTAATTCACAACAGAATCAGAGACATAGTATTCAAACGATTGGCACCAGAAAATGGTGAGGAAATCACTGATCCATAAAACGACCATGCCATGCGGGGGCCTCGAGGCCATATTGCTTGGGCTCGAGCTTTGTGTTTTATATTGCTGTAAAGAAAAGCCTGCAAATTATTGCAAGGACTGCCAACCCATAAAGATTCAGATAAATCGTGTTTGAACGCCTGGCACATTTTTATAATTTTTTTTTTACAAAAATATTACACTAACAAATAACCGGTCTAAAAACGACCATGCCGCGGGAAGGCCTCGAGGTCATATTCCTTGCACCTCCAAACAAATGGAATCTCTAATCTACAACGGAATCAGAGAGATGATGTTTTAACGATTGTCAACAGAAAATGGTGTTCTTTTACGAAAAATTATATACTTTATATTGAGATTTACTTTATATCAAATACCGATCGGAATAAACTACTATTTTCCTCCACTAAGAGATCTCTCACTGTATTTGCTTGATTTTTAGATAATTGGATGAAATTCAAAAGTGACGTTTACGACATTTTAGCAGTTGACACTTTTCCCAGCATGCAAATGATAGAATACAAATTTCATAGACTATTAACATAAAATTCTGGTAAAACTATTGATATTTTATGAACGCAATTATCCCAAAAGTGGTGGTATTTGAAGGCATGCTTATCTCGGGAAAAATCACTTTGATCTTGATATTTCCAAACAATAAAATATTCAATGAAATAACATAATAGTGTTATTATTTTGTTCCCCAGACACCCTAAACCTCTCCCCAACACTCCTAGAAAAAAACGCAACAGAAACAATATGTTAGTATGCCATGCTTAAATGTTTGCAAAAACAACAAAATACTAATTACGACGTTAGTGAAAAGGTTTGTTCATTTTGTAATACTAATTTAATACATTATGTTTGCCAAAACAACAAAATACCTATTATGACGTCAGTAAACGGATGTGTTCAATTTGTAACACTCCTTTACTATACCAGCTTTAAATTTCCTACCTTTTGATAAATTTGGTGGATAATTAAATATTTTTAGAGATCATTCATATTGCTATGATTTTAGCTGGATGCCTCTATATAATAAACAATTCAAGAATATCAACCTAAAGAAAAATGTACTGATTAAGATTTTAAGAAAAGTAAAAATATTTTACAATTTAACTAATTATTAACATGTTACATGCAATGAATGACTGATTTTCCAGTATCTTTCACCATATTGATATACTGCGTGACCAACACAGAAAAGATTTTTTTCTAAAGAATATTTTTACTTTTATTTGGTTATTTACGTAAATTATTTCCTTTGCTCTCTGAAAATATTTTACCTTTAAATGAAAGTTCAAAGTTTTAATGAAAATTAGCATGAATCTGGTAAATGAGGTTGTCAGCGCGGAAAGCCACACAGCTTTTGGAGAAAATCAATCGCGACGGGGCTTAAAGGATTGCACAAAAGATTCATGTATAAACATTGAAGAAAAACAGTTTTTATACACCCGAAGAAACTTAGCGGCGTATTATGGTATTGCCTTGTGCGTTCGTCCGTCTGTCCGTCGACAATGGTTTCCACATCATTACTTTTCAATGAGCACACTGTGTTAAATTAAACATGTTAATATATTGTTTCAAAACACAGATCATTTTCGATATTTAGCTGCAATCATCTGATTACTTTTGTTAGAGTTATTCCCCGATTTAGCTGAATTTTCTGTGAAATAATTGGTTTCCGCGGCATAACTTTCGAAGGTTATAAATGATATTCTTTATAGTATGTCATATCAAAACACTGGACAGGTCAGATTTTTGCGGTAATCAACCAATTGTTATTGATAGAGTTATGCCCCTTTTTACTGGGATTTTCTATGCCGCAGAATAACTATTGAAGAGTTTCAGTTAAAACAAAACAATAACACTATTGCATATTTTATTGTTCGGAAATATCAAGATCAAAGTAATTTTCCCCTAAATAATTATGCCTTCAAATACCACCACTTTTGGAATAATTGCGTTCATAGAATATTAACAGTTTTGCTACAAGTTTATGTTAATAATCTATGATATTTGTATTTTATACTTTGCGTTCTGAGAAAATCGTCGCCTGCTAAAATGCCGTCAATGTAATTTTTGAAATCACTCCAATAATCTCGAAATCAAGCAAATAAAGTGAGAGATCTCTTGGAGAAGGAAAATGGTCGTTTTTACGATCGATGACCGGTTTCATCTCAATATAAAGTAAGAAGAACACCATTGTCTGTTGACAATCTATAAACACCATTTGTTTTTTATATGTCACCATATTACACTATGTTTTTGAGGTCTGTATGTTTGTTTAAAGTGTCTCACTGGGTATATATGTATTTAACTAGTCAAGTGTAAATTTTATATGTATTATAATGATGAATGTTATTTTTTTGTAAAAATTAGCAATGAGTAATCTTAATTTTTTCTCTTACAATTGCCGTGGTTTAAATGACAGCATCAAAAGGCGTGATATTTTTAATTTTCTTCTTACAAGATATGCTGATATACTTTGCCTGCAAAAAACACATTTCATTAAAGACTTTGAAAAGAATATAAATTCTGAATGGAATGGCTATTGTAAATCTAATGCAAAAGGTGTGGCCATTGTATGTAGAAAGATTTAGATATTAAAATAAATTTTGTTAAAACCGATGACTCTGGAAGTTTTATAATGTTACTTATTTCATTGGATTCCATAAATTTTACATAAGTAAATATATATGCACCAAATACAGATGGTCCTAGTTTCTTTTATTAAATGTTGTGATGAAAATGACTGTCTAATAATTTGCGGAGATTATAGTCTTGTTCAAAATCCAGATATGGACTACTTTAATTATAAATCGGAAAGTAATAATGTGAAGGCTAGAATTCTTTTTACTCAGTATTATTGAAGATAAAGAACTTATTGATCCATCTAGAAAGTTACATGGCTCTATAAAAATATACATTGGGACGTACCAACCCAATACAGTAAGGTAGATTAGATTTTTTTCTTATATAAATACATTTATATCAGAATGTAGTTAAATGTGGCATTGATGCTAATTATAGATCTGATCATTCGATAATATATTTGGATTTTTGTTTTGTTCCTGTCAATCATGGAAAAGGTATATGGAAATTTAATAATGCTCTTTTACATTGATATCATTAATAAGAAAATAGATGAAATAAAATTGCAATATTGTTTACCTGCATATAATATAGATTATGTTTTGGATATAAACAATATGATATAGTTTTTGTTATTAATGATGAACATTTTTTAGACACTTTTAATGGAGATTAGGGGTTAATCCATTTCTTATAGCTCTTTTAAGGCTAAAGAAAGAATACATATGAGAAAAAAATATTCGAAGAAATTATTGTTCTAGAACAAAACTTGACATATGATAATAAAGACAAACTTCTACATTTACAAAATGAATTGACTGAATTAAGAAACAATAAAATAAAGGGTGCTATGATTAGGCCAAGGTCACAAAGGATTAATGCAACAGTATCAAACAAATCTTGTAATAAAAAAGTACCAGAAATGGTTTATTGCACAGAAAATAGACACATGACATACATAAGAAGAACGAAGTGTCGATTCAGAAAACAGCCATGTTATGAGGGCCTCTCGTTGCCATTACACTTTGATTAGAGCTGTGTGTGTTATATTAATGTTACTTTAGTGTAGCTAATATGCAACAGAATCAGACAAATTGCGTCATAACGGTTAGCTCTTGATATATATTTATTTCAAAAAAACATTAAACATATTATATACAGAAAGAAATAAATGCCGATTTATAAAACTATGCATTGTGGACCCACGTGGCCATATCTCTTGGGCTAGAGCCGTGTGCCTTATTTGGTTGTAAAGAATGTTTAAATTAATGTGAGGCTAGTCCGCATTGAATTTAACAAATGTTGTTTTTACGGTGGGCTCCAAAAAATTCAAGGAGTTTCATGAACAATTTATAATGATAAACCAATCACTGATCCTAAAAACGCAATTTTCACGAGGTCATTATACATCTTAGCCTTATATTACTATAAAGAAGATGCCTTACACTGACACAAGTGTTAATCCACAAAGGAATCAGGCAAATAGTGTTTAATAGTGTGGGAATAAGGAATGATTTTTTTTAATGAAATCTATACACTGCAAATACTGATAAACAAATCGCCGATCCAAAAAGCGACCTTGCAACGCGGACCGCTAGAAATCATACGCCTTTCGTTATGGCTTTGTACCATAAATGCCTGTAAAGGACAACCCGAAGACTAACGCAATGGCTAAACTGCAGTATAGTATAACACAACGTGTGTTTTAATGGTTTTGCAGTAGAAAATGGTATTTTGTAAAGAAAAAATAAACATCATAACCTATAACACACGTGCCTTTTGCTGTCAATGTTCTTACGCTAAAGCTTTCGGCTGATAAGAAGATTCTCCAATTAAAAACAATAGCTATAGAAAATGTTGTTTTTTTTACGAAAATTCATAAGGTTTACATACAGAAAGGAAAAACGGCGATCCAAAAAGACAACTGCGCCATGCAGGCCTCTCGTAGCTATTGCCTTTATAGGTTTTGGCTTTGTGCTATAGTGCTTTTTGAAAACTCTCCAAACTCTCACAAGAGGTAATCCGCAACAGAATCATACAGCTATTGTTTTTACGGATGGCACCATCAAATGGTGCGTTGTTTACATTTTGTTCCACATTTTTCATTATCAAAATCGATGAATAGAAAGAATAGAGCCAAGTTTCTGCAGCTTACTTTAATTACAAATAAAACTGACAATAATTGCAAAACAAAAAAATGGTACATATTGACAATAAATGTAAAACAAAACAAAAATAACTGTATTTATTGTCAATAACTGTAAGGCAGAAAAAAAACGTAATGCCAATAATTGTAAAACAGAAAAAAATGGTATGTTTTGACAATAATAATAATTGTAAAACATGAAAAGAGTGGTGTGTATGGACAATAATGGTTAAATTAAACAAATAATGGTATGTATTGCCAATAATTATGAAGCAGAAAATTTTTTGGGTGCAATACTGTAAATTGCACTCTAAAAACAAGCAAACATGGTCTGATTAATAATTATTGTGAAACAGAAATATAACCGTATATATTGACAATAATTGTTAATAAAAATAATAGGATGTACTGATACTATTTGTAAAACAAAAAAGTAATTCTATTTATTGACAATAATTTAAATAGAAACAACAGGAAATAATGGTATGCATTGATAAATATGGTGAAACAATACTATTGAACTCTGTATATATTGATAGTAATTTATAATTATAATTATAAAACAGAAACATTAATTGTAATATAGAAAATTATGTTATATATTTACAATATTTTAATAACTAGAAATAATCGAATGTAATGCAAACAAATGTAAATCAGATGTATTGACAATAATTGAAAAACAGAAAATAATAGTATGTTTTGACAGTTATTGTCAAACAAAAATAATTGAACACA